TTCGACTGGAAAGCGGCGCCACGCACACGTCTCCGATGCCCATGACCGACGTTCGAGATCTGTCGTTCTCGATAAAACCGAAAAACGCGACCGGACATGTGCTCACCGCTTCCGGAGACGTCGACCACATTACGATCTCGCTTTGGGGAGGCTACGCGAGCGTCGACCTGAACACCGGATCAGGAAACATGCAGTACTACAGTCCGAATCGTATGCACGTCCACCGTTGGAACCGACTGAAGATAGAGATCGCGAAAGCCTCCGTGTCCGTTACGACCAACGGCGGCCTGAGGGAGACGACGAAGCTGGAAGGTCCCTACACCCATCTAAATCTTGGCGGCGACTTCGTCACAGGAACCGTAAACGGATTACGGGGCGTCGAAGGATGCATCTCCTCCCTCGAGCTCAACGGCGGTGGACGAGAGGTGGAACCCGCGGGAATGGCTTTTTGTCGAGTCGCTTACCGCCTCGACGATTCCACCTCTGCGATGGCCGAGGAGGATCGAATAGAGAGCATGTCGTTTTCGCTTAAACCGTACGAACAGACGCGAAGCGTTCAACGGCACGTGTTCACGGCCACAAGCAGGACCACCACCGACCGCGTCTCGGTTTTCCTCACCGACGGATACGCGAGAGTCGCCGTGGACGCGGGTTCCGGGCTGATGTTTCTCAACAGCGCAAACCGTGTGCTCACCGGTAGGTGGAACGAGGTTCGATTGCTGTTTGAAGAAAGCTCGATGCAGATCGCGATAGGAGGGGAAACGAGCGAGAAGAAAATGCTGGAAGGCACGTTCACGCATCTGAACCTGAACGGCAAACTGCACATCGGCGCCGATTTGAACGGAACGACTCGGGGGCTCGAAGGATGCATTACTCCTTTGGTATTGAACGCCGGTCGACCGATCGCACCGACAGGACTTTCTTTCTGCCAAGCTGCGCCGATGCGGCCTCCCGTCGTCGTAGTCGCCGATGTCGACGATCGCCAACCGGAGACGGGGACACCACCCCGGATCTCCTATCGTCTGACCGAAGACACAGGGATGCACGCGATGCCATCTTACGATCGCATAGACAGTCTCTCTTTTTCGATCAAACCCGAAAAATCGGACGGGCACGTGTTCACATGGAAAGGACCCACCGATTCCCTCTCGATATTGCTCTTCGACGGCCGCGCGAGCATCTACGTGAACACGGGTTCCGGAGCGGATTTCTACGACAGCGAAATTCCTCTGCGAATGAACGAATGGCTGTCTCTTATCCACATCTAGAGGATAGGATTCACCGAAGGCTTCATGCACTTTTCGATCGGTCGCGGGCAGGAAGAATGGAAGAAACTGGCAGGTCGGTACACAGACCTCAATCTGGGCGACAGCTACTCCGTTGGATTATACGATGGTCTCGGCAGCACCGGCGGATGCATTTCTGATCTCGAGTTGAACGGTCGACCGGTACAACCCACCGGTCTGGCATCTTGCAACGCGAAACCAGATAGTAGAAAGATCAGAATCGGATCGGGCGCATGTTCTTACTTCGTTGTTCCGCAAGACGAAGCGACGCCGCTTCCATTCATAGAAGTGACGTTCTCGTACACGCGCTCGGACCCGAACGACGGCCACGTTCTGCTGTACGAAGAATCGAACTTCGACTTGCACGTGGCTATATGGGGTGGAAGGATGACACTGTTGATGACATCTAAAACCGAAGGATGAACGTTCGCAAGGTTGAGGTGTCCTTACTCGGTAGCGCCGAACGTCACAGAAAGATACACCATTCGTCTGACCGATCGCTTTATGAAGTTGAATTCCGAATCTTTCGGTTACGCGCACGCGGTGATGCCGGCAGAGTTCGTCGTCGACGATCACCCCGACGGAATGTTCTTCTTCGGACGAGCGGACCGTTCAGCTAACGGAGTGATCAATAACTTCACCGTGAACGAATGGATGCTGGATTCCTCAGCCATTCTGGAATGCCCGACGAGGATCGAAGCGAACGATAACGCTGTGGCCGATATACGAAACGACACCTGTTTCACATTCAGCGTCCCTACTTCGACCTGTCGGCCCACCCTGGACGTTAGCTTCTATTACACGAGAACGAACACGGACGACGGAAAAATATTCAGGTACGTAGGGAGTGAAGGATTTCGCTTAAGAATCTCAATCGCCAGCGACGAGATGAGGTTGCACGTATCAAATTCCGAGAACGAAAAAATCAAGTCGATAACTCCGACTCCGTCTCTGGGAGTCAGGACGAGATACGCATACCACATACGAAACAACCAAATCTTCTCTACGAAGGACGGGATTCCGACTTTGGCAAAGGCCTTCCCGGTGGGAAACGGAACGAAGTTCTACGAAGGTGTGTACATGCTGGGCAGCAACGGCGAAACCCACGTGACCGCCGCAGGGAAGGTGAGTACTCTGATCGTCAACGGTTTTGAAGTCGAGCCGAATAATTTGGAAAAGTGCAACGCGACCACGGATGCTGAATCGACCGAAAGACCTTCGATTGCGACGACCCCAGCAGTGTACCGATTCGACAGATCTTTCCGCATAGGCGACATGAAATCCCGGATGCCCACCGTCGGCCGCGTTCGAAACATATCGTTATCCGTCAAACCGGATGAACTCGACGGACACGTGTTCCCCGCAGAGGGGGAAAACGACCACGTCTCAGTACGGCTAGTGTCGGGATACGTGAGCGTGTCCATAAACGCGGGTTCCGGACGGATGTTTCAGGGCAACGAAAAACGCCTCCTGTCGACCGGTCGGTGGCACCGAATCTTGCTGGAATTCGAGGAAGATTCCGTGCGAATAACGACGGACTCGGTTCCGTCCGAATGGAAGAGGTTAGAAGGGATGTACACTCACCTCAACCTCGGCGGTGACTTCTCCATGGGAACGGTCGGAGACTTCGAGAGCATCGAAGGATGCATCTCCCCGTTGAAGATAAACGGTCGCCTCTTCGTACCACCGGGACGCGTATTTTTTTTCTGCAGTACACATAAGGAAATATATGTTTCTTTTAGCCAATCAAAATGTAGGAAGCCTAAAATGACGTCAGATAACTATTGAATAATTAATCAGCAGTGAGACTCGCTTCCTTTGCTGCTAACAATGACTAAACATTCCTCTCGCGTGTTTACAAGGGAGCTCTGAGTCATAAAATGACAAGGGTGGGTTATTGAAATTATTAACAGCATGGTTTCCTACTACATAGGGT